GCCGCGATTCGCAAAGCCCCGCGCAGGGCGCAGAGTGCTCAACTACAAAGCTCTCAACTGAGATAAGCCTTCAAGGCCTTGAAAACGCTACATCGCAGAGCAAAGCCAGCTTCACCCGTAGAACCTGCCCTGAAAACTCCTTTGAACCCTGGGCCCTGGATTTCCTCCAACGGCCTCTCCCGTAGTAGTACTGCCTACTTACGGGGGGGTTTCAGAAGATGAGTGCCCTAGTATGGCTCGCACAACTTATGGGATTACAGAAGAGCCCCTCCCAACCTGGGGCCTAAACCGTGAACCCCACGGAGTTGAGCTGGTCTGATCCTGAAAGGTCCGTCGAAAGGTCGGTGGAAACCTGAGGAAACGGAGGCTCGCGCTTGTGGCAGGCAGGGACAACACGAAACTCCAAGAAAAGGAAAGTCTAACCCGCGCAAGCTCCGACAAAAAGCCTAAGCTTAATAGCACTCCAAACACCCGAATGAACGCGAATGGATGTCTTGCAAGTTATCTTCTTGCTAGCATAATTCATCTACTCCGCCCCGTCCATCCAAAACAGAACTCCGTTTCAGAGTCCAGAGAGGTACCCTCATGAAACCCTGCAAATTCTGTTTAGAACCCTTCTCGAACCTCTGTCGAGACCGCAAAGCCTTTGCAAAGCCGTCACAGAACCTTCTATGAAATCCAGGTGAGGGGCCTTAATAACTAGAGTAGGGCTCAGCGGTATACTTTACTTGAACCCTATTACGGAATCCTATGGAATAGAATTACTAACTGTTGCTAGCTAATAGCTCAGGTTCTCTCTACCAGCCGGAGGGGTTTTCGAGGTTAGGGTATGAGAGTCCCCTCTCGCCGCCAGAGCGCTTCAGATCTATTCCGATACACGCCGGGAGTTTTGGACATGTCCGCCAGCATCCGTTTCCTGCTAGCGTCCAGGGCTGAGGGGTCGAGGATACCTATCAGAAAGGGTGTCGTTAATTGGAATCGGGTTTGGAGTAGACTGCGGTATAGCTGTATGAGGGACTGTAGATACCACCACAAAACCCAAACTTCCACATCACCACTGCCCTCGTTATGAGGTTGAACTGCGGCACGCTTGACACTTAGCTTAGATTGTGAAAGTCGAAGTTTGAAGAAGGAACAGACAAAAAAAAAACAGTCACCTGGAACCAGCACCCGCAACGCTCGACCCAACACCAGTTGAAACAAGCACAAGGCTTGAAAACATGCTGAAAGGCCCATCCAGGGGTCATGTACTCGCTGGTCTCCAGGATCTTTCGCATCTTCAGGGCATGGGCTCAAAACAGTGTCACGGATTCTACAAACAGTTTCTAAGTGTTGCGCGGGGTTTCTTATTAGGGCTTCAAGGTTCACGGAGTTTTCGCTCGAGGATGCGTTAGGCTTCAAGATGGATTGATAGGACGTTGCTGGGATGTTCTTGAATTTTTCAAACCCGAAACCTCTAACCAACCCCCCTTCAGTGGATTCAGGCACCTCCTGTGCCCTCCCGGCGCCACGCAGCCGCGAGACGCCTTGCACGAGCTCGTCTGCAGAGAGCCGGCCATCCCCAGCGGTGTTCAACATCTTGAAGAGCTCCTTCTGAAAAAGCGTGGGATTTTGAAGGACTCCAGGTCTGAAGGCCAAAAAACTACTCAGATCCGAAAGCCAGCAGTCTGAAGTAGAACAGACCTTACCTGGAGCGCCAGAGGCCAGACACGTCAAGACCCGGTCGTTGAAACGAGAGCCAAAACTAACCTGATACACTGGATCCTGCGTACTTGCCATGAGTCCACAAGCCCACCTTATTCACACTTTCACAGACACCACAAGCTGGACCATAAAAGTACCCGTGCTCAGGAGCTGATGATTCACCAACCGGCACAAACCTCTCGCACCGCGCACCCCAGAAGCCGCAAAGTCCTGAATCCTCAAGCCTTGTACATTCAGGTCCTAACCCGAAAAGCATTGAGATCATTCATGGTTGAGCACCCAAAGAAAGTACGACTCCTTCAAGAAAACACTCCGTAACACATCATAGGGCTCTTAGTTGGCAGTGCTTAGTCACGGAATCGCTTGTGGAACCTCCTTACCCCTACCCTGCAACCTGAAACATCGGATTCTATGATCAAGGGCTTCGAGGCATCCATTTTTTGTCCTCCGGGTGGCTGACGTCCAACTCCATGGCCGAGAGCCAGACCCTCACCTCGGCTCCCCCATGATTTTTCAGTCTTATCTTACCTTTGGTTAGTAGGGAATGGAGGAATGGGGTACAAGTATAACTACTATTACTACCATGCTTCCATTCCCTACTATTCAAAGGTAAGTTAGCTTTTTTGGGGCCTAGCGGTTTAGGTTTGATGGTGGCAAACACATGCCGGTGTGATTCAATGTCTCCATGGTTTCATCACTGCAGAGACAAGATTAGATGCTGTCTGTACTGAATTCGGGGTGCTCTTAACCTCTCTTCGCTTAGCATTAGAACCAGCGGCTGCTGCAATCGCGCCGGGGGGTAAGTGGACTAAGGTCACAGGCTTGAGAAGTGTGGGGCCTAGGGCCTCCAATGGTTGCTTTTGGACTTTCGGCCACAGACTGTCGCCTCCTGCTTCTTCAGGATTTGCTTGAACTCGTTCAGGTCCAGCTTTCCGTCTCCTTTTTAGGGTTTAGGGTTTACGGTTTAGAGTTTCGGGGTTTAGGGGTTTGGGAGTTTAGTTTCGGGTTTAGCGTTTAAGGCTTGAAGCGACTTGGGGTCCCATGAAGTCTTGTGGGGTTTGGGGGGTTTAGAGTTTTTTGGGTCTTTGGGGGCTTCAGGCTGTGGTTGTGGAGCGACTTAAAGAGGGTTTTGTACCCGAACACCCTAAGTCAGATGTGAAAGTGCCAGATAAGCCTGAGAGGTTGTGGGTAGCAAGCCCTCTGTCGCATCCGAAACGGCCAGCAATTCAACAAGTGCGCCCCATCCGTGCCCACATTTTGATTAAAATCTGGTTGTTTCTACTTTCCGCAGTCCTGCATCAGCACCATGCCGATGAAGCAGAAGCTACGAGCGGGCATTCTAGCTTGAGTTTTCGTCAGGCCCCAATTCAAGGTCAATTTGGGGGATATTATTTCCAGCATGGCGAGATCCGCAGTGACCGAATCCCTTCACTCCCGTGCAAAACAAAGTTTCGGGAAATAGAGCGATCATGGAAAATAGTCGGATGATAGTAGCTCGTAAGAATAGCAGCAGTGGCAATTTGGTGATGATAGTGCGAATTGGCATGGGCATGACCTCGAGGAATCATTGGGATCGTACTCCCAAGCCGTCATAGGAAAGCCATATCACAACCATGCAGCCATGTTTTAACAAACTGCCGTCATAAAGGCATTTGCAAGTGAAGCTGTGGAGCAGCACATTCCCGTGAACCCACAGAAGCGAAGTACCCTAATTACCCTAATTCAGGACACTATCCGTAACTCGTTCAAGAGATATTCTTTGTGTAAGGACTTGTTCTTGGGCTCTCTGCCAATGGCACGGAAGTTGGACTGCATGGACCTTGCGCGGCCATATAAAGCCCTGTAAACATTTACAACTTATCAAGCCCTCTGCAAGTGCCCTGCAGCTACCCCTAAACCCTACACCCAAAGCCCGAAACCCCGAAGTCCAAATCCTCGTCATGTAATTACCAAACCCATTTCTTAGGACTCCTTGTTATCGTTTGGGTTAGGAATCTGCAGAACCTTGCTTCCATCATTAAGGCCCCCAAAGTTGCCGACTCCTGAGGTGTCCGCTTCGTGGAAGAGCTCAGACATCTTGGCCACGTGAGCGCGCATCGTCCGCATCTTCTCGCGGACCATGACCTTCTAAGGTGCAGGGTGCAGGCTCAGGGACAGGGCCATGGAGCCCTTGGTCCCTCTGAATCTTTACGTGACATGTACGACATTAAAGCCAAGATAGAAGTCTTAGGTAAACCCCGAAACATGAAGAACAGCCAAGTAGCGGTGTCGTCGAGGTAGGCGACTTTGAAGGTCTCCTATGTGGAGGGCACTTCAGTACAGACAGACTGAATTATGTTCAACTTCCAGGTATGAGTCTGCATCTTTCCGGAGCCAATACAAACTGGCCAACCACAAAACCTTCCACCAACAAGAACATACAATCGTCAAGCTCACACGGGTGTCTGTCCGAATGCCTCTTTGAGGAGTGCTGGTGGTTCCAATTTATGGTCCCGTCGTGTGCGCTTCCCAACGGCGCGAGTCTAGAGCACTCTAACACAGCACTGCAGCCGCACGAACACGCTGTCAGGACACGGATGTGCAATCCAATATCAGACAACAGTATGGTAAGCTTTGAGTTGCATCATAGGATCATAACAGCAACCTACACTCGCAGACCAATCGTCCGCATGAACCCACCAGCTGCCTGCATCAACACCGCGTTGATGACACCAACGACCGCGAAGCCTACCGTAAGCTTGTGAAGAAGACAGAAGATCACCCACCACTCGTTGACTTCTTCCAGGAGGACGCGGCAAACCGGAGCCCAATTTGCCAGAGTCAGTTCGAAGAGCGACAGGAAGGAGCGAGTGAAGGTCCCGAAGTACATGAAGACTCGTTGCTGGCCTTCTGGGTCTTCCGATTCAGCATCGAAGTAGTAACCAAACAAGATCTGCTGCACCAAAAGGGCCAATAGCAGATGGCAAATGAACAGCAAGGCCATGGACCAGCCAAGTACAGTCATGCTGCTACGGACAGCTGTGGTCATCAGAAAAAGCGGATCAAACTCCTGAATTTTGCGGACCAAGTTCAGCAACCGAAGCAGTCGGAAGATACGGCCCAGGCGCAGAATCTGGCTGTTCACTGGCAAATCTTCCACCAAGTTCTCTACCAGCCACACCTAGCTTCCCCAACAGTGCCCTAAACAGAAATACAGCTCTTTTCATATCAGAGCGAAGTCAAACGTTTCTGTGGATCATTATTCTGTAAAAGAAAACATATAAGAACACATAATGACTTTTTGCGGGTGTAGCGACGGAGATCACCACAGCATCCAACCAGTTCCAGGCCTCCCTCCAAAAACCGAGGCCTTCCGCAAAGAGCCGCAGGCAGACTTCGATGGTAAAGACGATCCCAAAGACCTGGTAGTGTGTGTGTGTGTGTGCGCTTTTTGGCAAAGGGCGGAGGGTTGAAAGGCTTCGTGGACCTTGCAGTGCTCTGCCTGTAGGGCTCAGGGTGTAGGGGACTGGGTTTATACATACGATACCCCCAAGTAAGTTGAGGTGGTAGGCACTTTGGCGACTCGTCCCGTGATCCTGCGAATGCTAAGCCGACGACCAGCTCCAGGGTAGCGAAGACCCCTTCCACACCGAGCCACATCCTCTCTGCAAGCGCTGGGAGGAATCTTCGAGGGTTTACGGGGGCGCGTAGAGTCCGGGGCCTAGGGCCGAGGATTTAGAGACTGCAGTTTATCAGACCCTTATACGACCTGATCTGCACAAAATGTAATCTTTGTGCTGTGCTATGTCATGCTTGCGAGCCCGAGAATCGAGGTGGAACTCCAAACTAGACCTGAAGCCTTTTAGCTGGTCGCAGAAGTCAGTGCAGCAAGACCTATGTTCCAACAGCCCCGAACCCAACCCAAGCCGTGAAGCCTAAACCCTCAGCCCGAAAAGGCCCCTGAAGCCAAGTTTCTGCTGGCCGTTGGGCGCTCCGCGAAAGTTTGCAGCATCCGCGAATTCGAAGCCGCGGTATTGTGCCTCCACGGCAAAGACCAAGGCGTTGCAGAAGATGAGGAAGCCTCGTTTCGGGTTTGGCTGAGCCTGAAACGTACTTCCCAAGATGGCATCCCCACGTCCCGAAACGTTCCAAAAATCTCGGACATGCCCATTCGACTCACAGGCGAAGCCCGAGGATGCAGGGGGTCAGGGATGGTCCCAAGGAGCTGTAAGCTTTCCATGCTTGCAAAGGCCAGGCGATGGCTTGCCACACCCCGGCAAAAGAAGCACAGCCCAAACCCCCACAACACCATGAACAAACCAAAACACCTGAATCCCATGAAAACACCCAGCTTCACCCAGAAGACCCTGAGCCAGGATCCCTTTTTGAAGCAGAGCCGCTCATGGTGCAGTCCACGACCGGGCGCTTGATGCACTTCGCCAGGAAGGGCCGCAGTTGCCCTCCAGACCAGAGCGCGGCTAAGGGTTTAGGGTTTTGGGCTTTGAGTTTTGGGTTTTGAGTTTTGGGTTTAGGGTTTAGGGTTTTCGGGCTTAGGGTTTAGGGCTTCGTCTAGGGTTTTCTTGCTTAAGGCGGTTAGGGTTTGGGGCTTGGTTTGGGGCGTAGGACCTAGGAGTTGCTCTTGTTAGGGGTTTAGGGTTTAGGGGATAGCTTTGGGCTTAAGGTTTCGGGTTTTTGTCGGGGGGCCTCAGGCCTTGCCTCTGAAGGCAAAAAACACCAAAAGCCGGAAGAGCCGGGCCTGAGGAACCGAGCCGAAGAACTCGAGCCCAAAGGCCCCCAAACCCGGGAGCCCCCATCAAAACTTGAGGCGGGAGCCTCTGGAGACCGAGTCGGTAGCTCTAGATACGGTGCACCTAAACCCTGAACCCGTATTTTAGGGCTCCGCTTCCCGGAGACGCTTATAATATACCTCACCGAAACCTCAAAGGAAGCCTTGAACTTAAACAAGACTCGCGGAGCCTTGCCACTGCAAATCCGAGGAAGATCGCCACTTCTTCTGCTTCTTCAGGCCGCGCTTCTTGCCCTGGGTCCAGACCTGTGCAGGAGCTTAAGGGAAGCCTTTGTTCGGGGGTATCCTTTTGCCTGTCTTCTTTGGGCCTCTGGGGTTGATAAGGCTTAGGGCTTGCGGAGAAGGGGAAAGGGGGGGGCTTTGGGGCAAAGACCAAGTTTAGGCCGTTTAAGCCTTTAGGCTTTGGCGTTGGCATTTTGCTGGATTCCGCGGTGGGGTTCGAACCCCTCGAGCCCGTGACCCCTTCAAGCTGAACCTTCGTAGAATGTGAACACATCCATCGCGGGTAGGACGATCGTTTTCGCGGACTCTGCAAGGACATACCAGCTAGTGAGGCTCCCACTACATGCTTGTAAATCTCTGCAAGAACCCTGGAACCGCAAAAGTATGAATAAGATCTTTTGGGGTCCTTACAGGACAATCTTGACAGAAACCCGACACTAGAGACCCATCTGAACAATGCAAAAACCAAGACGCAACGCTGCGAAACTCTCATAAATAGCTACAGGCCCCGATAACGAAACCAGGGTCCATTCTTAGATACAGACAAAGCGCATCACTATCTGCAAGGTTGGAGAAAAACGCACCCCAATGTGAAGAACTTTCCATCCTTGGCTCTACTGGGAAGACGTGTGCCTTGGAGATGGCGCTGGAGGACTCCACCGTCAGCTCGTCCGGGTAGTCGTCCGGCATCTCTTCCTGGACCGGCACGAAAACTTTTGGGGAATATAAAATAAACAACACCAATAATGATTACAACAATACTATATAGTAGGAAGTAGGAATAGTATTGCAAATTAGATACCTATGATACGATGATCAGGCCTACAGCGGCTTGTAGCAACTTGGAGTTGACGCTTCAAGGTTTGGTGACTTTTGTTTCCGGGGCTCACCTTGGGATTCAACCTCTCTCCTGTCCAGCTTCCTCACAGATTCCGGAACTTTTACATAGGGGCCTAAACAAATACCTATACTATTCTGGGGGGCTCCTTACTACAATTATAGTATAATGGGCCCCAAAACCCTATTCTAATTATTAAGGCCCCGACATTACAGACAGTTTCGGGAGCTTCAGTTTTCGAGTTGGGCCCAAGAGGGGATCTCGGGCCGACTCTGGGCTTTTGGGTCGGATCTGATAAAATAAGAGGGGCTCTAGTAGGCAGTAACCCTAGAAGGTAGGAGGAGATAGGAGGAGCCTTGATATCAAGACCCCTGAACAGGGTAGCTGGATCTCTTTCCTAGTTCAAGAAACACCCATGACTCTGAATTTCATCAGAAACTTCAGGAATCTGCCCACTCTTTGAAAGTCAAAGAGGCAACCAATAGTGGCCTGCATGACAAGAACAAGGAAAAGAAAACGCAAAAACAACCTTAGAAGCATAAGCTCACACAGCCGCGAACTCCCAAAAATCCTTCCCTCCCTCCCTGCCTCCACCCGGCCCGGCAAAGCCCCAAAGCCCGCCCAAAAGTAGCCCAGCCCCAACCGCACAGTCCCAGCCTCCTCCTGGAAGTTTCTGCGGATCTCCTCCTCCTCTGCTTCGGAGCGCATTCGCTCCTGGTGGGAGTTTCCGAAAAGCAGGGGGGTACCTTGGGGTTCCTTTTAAAGGGTTACTAAAAGGGTGCTATAGGGGTGGTTCCTTTAAAGGGCTCTATAAGGGTTAAGGGTTTCCGACAATAAGGGCTACATTATTTTAGGGTCCTTATAATGAGGATCCTACTGTTTACGGTACTACATTAGGGTCCCTTTTTTCGGAAACCCCCATAAGAATTCTCAGTGTCCTGTATGGTGGCCGTGATGATCATTACACGAGGGCTACAAGGTTTCTCAGGTTTGCACAGTGTGGGTCGCAACAGCTTAGAATAAGTCATCGAGATTTGTATACTGCAAATGCACGTTCGGCAACACTTTCACTATAGCTCTTACTTCACGTCCCTGACATTGGGCTTTTGTACGAACTCACGATGTTTAGGGATGGGGCTTTGGGGGCCGTGGCTTTATCTTCGCGAGGGTTTGTGCCTGCAGGCTAGAGAGTGTCGGGTTTCCTTAGCAATCGCCTTCCCCGGTTCGCTTTAGCTGGCAAAACCCTAGCGGACTTGCGGCTCTGTGGAAGAACTGCTGATATATACACTATGGCTAAGGATGGCTAAGGTCGGAGTTACAGAGCCATAACGTCCTGGGCCCACATCCACATCCGAAACACACAGCCCATGTCCCAAGCCCTTACACGCTAACGCTAAGTACTTGAATCCACACCGCAAACAGCGGAGGCCGCAAAGCTTCACTCCTAGACAAAGTCCGGACGCCGACAGTGGAAACCCCCTGAAGCCTGGCTGGACCCTAGTCGTAGGACGAAGCTGAGGCCCAAAACCCACGTCCTGAAACCCTAAAACCATGAACTTCCGTGCGGAAGCCTCCCCCAAACCCGCGAAAGCCCTGTGCTTACCTGGAAGAATGGTAGTAATAGTAGAGTTATAATTGTACCCCATTCCTGCATTCCCTACTAACCAAAGGTAAGTGAAAGCCCCTTAAAGTCCGAGGTCTGCCTTGGAGCTGGCTCTTTGAAAGCCCCGGACCTGCGGCTCTGGATCGCCGGTAGCGGCTTTAGGAACTGTAGGGCCTCTTGAGGGTCTAGTTTTTTTTTGGGGGGGTAGGACTTAGGGCTTAGGGTTTAGGGTTTAGGGTTCTAGGGTTTGCAGGGTTTAGGGTAGGGTTGAAACAGGACCTGTGTAATGTATGCATATCGACTCTCACACACCTATCGACACTAGGATCTTTGGAAAGAGCGAGAGGGAGATGACGGGCTGACGTGCTTGGGTGGGTGCTGTCTTGGCGCTCTTCTGGGGATAAAGCCAGAAGCACGCCGATAACCTACGTTAAGGGCTTCTGCTTGGCCGAATGTTTTTCGTTCGAGACCTCTTGCGGGTTTGAGTCCTTAGCAAAGCAGTGACTTTTTCAGCGTTAGACTTAGGCCTTAGGGTTTAGGTTCGGCATGAGGGGTACTAGTACCAATAGGAACTCTGATGTTGGAGTTCCCGTTCAAGAACAACTTCCATGAAAAGAAGCACATTGAAGCACATCCTCACACCCTACCACACACTGACCGCGGAAGCACAGACCTACGACTCGAAACCCTAAACTGCAGACAGATAACGAAGACCTCAAAAGCTGACCTTCTACTCTGAAGTCGAGGTTCGACCTGTATCTGAGCGCTACATCCTAAACGTCAGCAAAACCCTGTGAACCCTATGCTAAAGCTCGTCTAAACCAAACCCTCACCTGTTCCCTCAGCCGCTGCACTTCCAGTACGTGAGCCGTGTGCAGCTGGCCGAGCCTAAGATGGCTTCGAGTTTCAGAGGTAGTGACATTTAAGGCTGTATGGGGGCCTTATTAGGGCAAGGGTTAAAACTTAATTTCTGTGTAGTCTCAAAGGCCTGAAACAAAAATGAAGAGAGGAAGCCCTTGAAATGGTGTGAGAATCACAGCCCAGCAGCAGATGCTCGAATTCATCCTCACTCAGCGCCATGCTGCACTCTACAGACCGAACCTTAAGCCCCTTTTGACCCTAAACCGCAGGCCCTTGGCCCTACGACATTGAAAAGCAATCCGTTCAGCGTGAAACCTAAGGTCCGAAACCAGAAATCTTCATACCGGGGCATATCCGTTCGAAACCGGTAGAGGCAGTGTGCATTCGCAGAGATGCCCGTGGATTTTTGCAGGGCGCACCTATATGCTGCAACAGCCTCTACAGGAGGCGTCGTGACAGACCACACAAACTCTTGAACGTGGCTGATGAAGCGGCGAGGGTGCAGGAAGGTCTCTGAATAAGCATCGTCTGCACAAGGCCCCTACGATTCAAGCTTCGGGTTGCCACCTTAAGGTGCTGCCACTGCTGTGAAAAACGGCAACCTCAGCCCTGAACCATGGCAATTTCGAAAGCAAGGAATGGGGTCAGTCAGAAACAAAAGAAACCTCTTTGTATCTACGGCTTATAGCCTTTTTTTTGCAGGAGCTATTGATTCGGCTTCCAGCGTGCGATTCGGTCACGATTCGACGATTAAGCACAACCCATGGAGAAGCAACATAGGGGCCTTCATGAATAGAACATGGTTTTGTTCCCATTACACCATAATTACAAGAACGACCCCCCTAAAACAGTAAAGGTAACTATGAAGGTCTGTATAGTATTCTTGTAAGATCAAGAAGGGCAACAGGGATCTTGACCCAAGGAGTGGGAGGCGACCACTTCAAGGACATCCAAGCGAAACCTCAAAATCCCAAGGCCAAGCAGAAGCTGACGCAACCGCTACAACTCTCCGAATCTTAAACCCTAAAACCCTATACCCTTAACTCCAAATTCTGAACCCTAAGAACCCTTAAAAGCCCTCAAGCCGTAAAGCCTGGAAGGCTCCGATAAAAGATCTCATGCTCTCAACGCGAACGATTCCCTCAGCAGCTTGTCGCTTTCGGTCTTGATCTTGAGGCTCAGGGTGGTCTTTTCAGCGATTGGGGCTCCGGATGGTTTAGGGTTTAGGGCAGGACTTGGGGAGTTTCTGAGACAGTTGCTTAAGGATTGAAGGGCTTTCAGCAGTCCCGCTCCAAGCTCCACGGCCTGGATTTCTTTTGCCAGTGCCGAGCAGAGGGGGCACCTCAGGATCTTAGGCAGCACCCCCCGTCACTTCTCTCAAGTTTGCTTTCTGTACCAAGTAGCTGTCCTCTCCAGGGCCTGAGGTTTGGGACTGGGAAGGGATCCTTCCTCAACAACGAAAGTCGAGAGTCATGACCTTCTGGAGTTCCAGCTGCCTGTGCCGACTCTGCAGCTGTCCCGCGAGTTCTTGCAGGTGAAATATTTTCAAATCCCTGGATGCATGCACAACTTCGCAAACTGAGTGCACGACCTGTCTGCGCCGGGAAAGACCAACAGTGGCACCACCTGCCGGATGGAGGGCGAAGGGTCATGCGCAGATGAAAGAGGAGAGAGTCAGACGCAAAGAAGGACGCGGGAGACGCCTCTTTCCCTCATAGACCTCGCGCGAGGCGGTCCAGCGATGCGTTGTAAAACTTAACCACCGAAGCAGCGAGCTTGCCGGCTGCTGTTCTGGGTTAGGATAACTCTTTGGGGCTCAGAATAGCCGAACATAGTTGGAACCACTGGAGGGCAAGAACTCCCAGCGAAGGTTTCCATAGACGAAAAGCTCGGCCTCGCTGCCCAGCTCTCCTCTTTCGGGCGGAGAGTAAATCAGCTCGAGTGCTTCACACATCTTGCTGATCTCACGAATTCGTCGCAGCAAGTTCGCCAGTGCTCCGAATTTCTTGTCGTAATTCTCCGCCTTCGACTGCACGTCCTCAAAAGACAGAACATCCTCACGCCGGACCTCACCTTTGTTGTGCCATCCCATGACCAGCTTTGCGGAACCGCCCAAATGCATTTGAATGGCTGCCTTCTTCCATCCATACCAAGCATCGCGATAATTGACATTGCCGGTTTTGATCTCCATCAGCTCCTGCATGTCAGGGGCAGCTGAAGCATCGACCTCGCAGCGAACCAGCAACTGCAGGCCCTGCAGGCCAATCTTCTGTATCACCACGTGCTTCTCGGCCTGCAAGCTTGGAGTGGTGATTTCACGCTCGTATGCAAAGCCATAGGACAGGACGTGATTGATCGGCATGCCTGTCTGTGGGTCACTCAGGTCAACTCGTTCGAGTGCAAGCATGCCGTGCTTGTAATGGGCATCTATCTTGAACACGAACCTGTCATCGGTGATGTGGCGTTCATAATCCAAGAAGGTCAAC